ACTCTTTTTTCAAAATCTGAATACCAGCAATTTTTGAGATAGACTAGTCTTTTTTACTTCGAATCGAGGTAGATAATTTTCGATTAACTTGGTATTTGAAGTTCATTAAACTTTTTTTTTTTTAGAAAAAAACAGGAGCAAGAGACTGTACTTATCTATCTACTGGCGCTATTTTACTGGCTGATATTTTACCTGGTTTGACAATTAAGATACTTGCGCCTTTTTTGCCATTTTTTGTACAGTAAGTAGTGTTTTTTTTATTTAGAATAAGCAATGGCTGGAGAATAATTGGTGAAAAATCCCAAAATCGATCAATATACACAGATTTTATTTAAAAAAAAGTTCTTCTCAAACTCTGCCACTGGAACCTGAAATGCAATTATCGGTTATCAATTTCCTTCAGTCATATAAGGTTTGTCAAAAAATTTGAAATTTGTTCGAGGATAAAATAAATAGATACCTTTATTCTTGACAATATCAAAAATTGATAGTGGAAAAAAAGATCAGAATGATAAAATTACTTTCAAATGTTCAATTGCATTAGTTTCCAATAAATTTATTTTCTTGAAACTTATCTCTACAACAATAAAAATGTATCTTTAATTATTGTACATGGAAAACGTTAAAAGACGTTAAGAAATGGTAAGGGTGTCAAATTTCCATTGATCTCAAGATGCTTTTTATTGAAATAAACAAATAAGAAAATGATTATTTAAAATCTCGAAATATTCAACTCTCCCAACCAACTACACAGTAGGTTTTTGATCAATGCCTGCCGGAAAACAACTACTTTCCCGGCTAATACCACGCCGAATATTGAATTATATCCGACAGACATTTATGCAAGATACCTCACAGAGATTAGTCTCGCAGATGTTTCTCGTTCATCCAGCAGTAGGACCATGCCTAATTTTTTTTACCCCCCCCCCTGGCATCAAACCGGAGTTTATTTTGCCACAGAATTTTCGAATCAATGGAGTCATGCTTAAATCATTCGAGTAGATCACCTACAGATCGGTTTCGAGATATTACCTCTCATCAGTGTAGGAAAAATCTGATTCAAACAGCAAAATGCCTGGGACTGGATTAATTTCAACGCGACTCGACTGCATGTATGAAACCTTCGTCTAAGAGAAAGATTGTTAACTAGTAACAGCTGCATCTCATGAACAAAGCCCCAAGCGGGGGAGAAACATCTCATGTATCAAAACTCTAACAGAGGTCAAACCATGTCTAAAAATTGTATCGAGGAGAGAAACATACCTATAAGAAAATAAATATTTCAGGCGTAGGTATTTGGGAAAGATTTTATTTTGAATTTGAAAATACCCAGTATTAGATATTGTTATAAGGTTTGAAATTCAATTGCTTGAAAATATAAGCAGATTGAAAATGAATAGTATGAACAGACTGAAATGTTACAGGACCGAAATTAGGATGAATTTGAAAAAAGTTAAGTGATATCCAGAAATTGAAAGGAAATTACATAACGGACAAGTTGAAGGCTGAATTGTGAATATACAAATTATTGTGACATGATGGAAATGAGATATTCATGAGCTCTTCTTTACTTTGCTCACCTTACACTAATTTTGTTTAATTCTTGTTTTCAGTTTACGAATAGCGGCTTGTGTGATACTAGCCTGCTCAGGATTTCTGTGTGTGGCATTCAGCAAGACACTATTTTTATCAATTCTAGGAGTCGTTCTCACATCTTTTTGCTCTGGATTGGGGGAAGTAACGTAT